AAACTGTGAAAATCTGCACCTTGTATCTACACATCTAATTAGGTTCCCCAGGGAAAGAGCTCATTTCTGCAGTCGCAAAGACCAGGAGACGAAGGTTCTGGGTTTGGAACGCTGGTTGTGCGTAAACACCGCATGTACAGTCGAACTTCGTTACAACGTACCTCGGGGGACATTAAGAATTTGTACGTTATAACCGTAGTACGTTGTAACCAAGTCCCTCAAAATGAATGATAGAACACAAAATGTATATAAAAAAACTTCTCGCCAATCCATTATCCTCGCTTAGTTTTGTTTGCGAAACCCCTTTACGATAATTCTGAATTATTTCCACCTTGTCGGTCAGTGAAATCTGTTTCCTTTTAGCAGGCATCTTGCTTGATATGTGGCAGCATGACACCATGCAAAACCATGAAAAAACAGGGGCCTGCATGCAAGGAGTCCGGCCGGCGTGGAATGCTTCCTGAGGATAGGTTCATACAAGCGATGTATGTTGCTAAGCGATGTAGATGGCCGGCAACAGCCGATTCTGAATTGTGCGCGCGCTCGGAAGATGAGGCTGTACGTTGTAACAAAGGTCAGTTTGCCTATTTTCCTCTGAAAATCATACGTTATATCGAAGTTTACGCTGTAAAGGTGTACGTTCTAAGCGATACCGGCAAATGGAATAATGCATTACGCGAATTCGGGACATTGAAATTTGAACGTTGTATTGGTGTAAACGCTATAAACGGGGTACGTTGTACCGAGGTTCGACTGTATACATTTTAGTGGGAAGGGGGCTGGCGGGAATCGGGACATGTCCATCCTGCTACAGCATGGTTCTGAAACCTGTCCATTTGAGTTAGGGAGGGGTGCGAATGAAGGTGGCTCAAGAATGTTTTTCTACAAAGAGACCAAGGGTGGTTCTAGGAAACCAGATCCTTAGCTGGATTTGGCTAAATACAGCTCTGCCTTGATCATTATTTCATGTAAATGTGAGCTGAAGTTTCCTGTGCAACAATTTTTCTGAGCCATAGTGACCTACAAACATTCATAAGTTCCTTAACAAAGGATAACAATGATGGAAAGGATGCAAGCTATGTTGGGGTGCTAACGTGTGGTTCCTGTGCTTTTCCTGGTTGAGTGGCAGTTGTGGCGAAGAGCAGGAGGTCGCATTGGGATGTCAGAGATGGTTTTTGAGGGGAATATTGAGGAGATTGTGGTCAAAGTGCCTGCATAAGAGAGACATTTAGGTCCCCTTGTCACCAATCCTGCATTGTTTAGCAGGACGGAACCATGAACAGTGCCTGATATATGATCTGTTAGTGCTGTACAGGATGAGCAGTTGTGGTTTTCTACTCAACCTAGGAACTAATGTGTTGCCACAGTATGATTAAAAAAATGTATATTATGGGGTGAGAAGCTTGTTCTTTCTCTCTAACTCTGTCCCCCTCTAGTCTTGTGTTTCGGTTGTGGTTCCTCTGTCTTTCCCTGTATCTGATGAATGTCAGGGCTTCTCCATGTAGTTCTGCGCTTACTTTAGCTCACCTCCCAGCTCTCCCTGTCAGGGCCGAAAATCAAACACTGAGAATTTATTGCCCTGATAAATTACTCATTGACATGATAAGGAATTCAGATGAGGATTCTGTGCCCATGGACTTCACTGGGAGCCTGACACCATGGTTTTATGTTACTGGGGAAACCAGGAATGGAAATGCAACAGAAAAATAAGGAGTGGTATATCCTGAAGCTAAAAGTCATATTTTTCTGGAGATTATCGACCTTCCCACACAGATCATTTTCATGTTCTCCAGCTTGGTTCCACCAACCAATGTTCTGGAATGTTCTAAAGGCTCTCATTGCTCAGACCACCATTTGATCTGCCTTGCCTTCAGCCACGGATGCAGAAAGCCCTTGGACTCCAGTGTCCTGCTGACACGCTTAGCGCTCCAGATCACTTTGTGACGGAACCTCCGTCTGCTTCCAAAAGGTTTCCAGCCGCTTTTATACCATATTTCCCCAATGCTTGACCTTTAAATCCCTTCTGTGATGGAGAACAGAGGGGGAACTGAGAACTAATGCTGCAAGCAAACACAGATGATGCCATTCCGGGCAAGCACTGCTAAAAACAGATGCCACACGTCAGCTGTATCCCATGGGGCAATTTTTTGTGTTTTGCTTGTGCTGAATCCAGCTAAAAGCATTGCCCTTTGTGATAAAACAACTGAGATTTGTTTGTTTTATGGTAACTCGCCCTCATCTGCACTCCAGACTGTGACGTTTGTAACATAAAGATGTCTGTCTAATCAGAAGCTGGAGTGATGTGACCAGACAAGTATCAAGGGACAGAATAATGACTTTTATTCCTGGTCACTTCTATGAAATTTCCTGACCTTTCATGTCTTTTCAACACAATGTTTTATGCTGAGGTTTACACTGACCGTTCTTCCTACTGCAGTGACTTTGCGCATCGATCGGGCAGAAGTGTGTTCCGTTTTTATTTGGCAAGTGCATAAATAATTCAGCAGTTAATCTGCTTAATCTTTAGTGGTACAGAGGAGCCTGCCTCAGCATTACAGGGGTGGTTGTGAGGACTGCATGGAGGTACCAGCCTGTCTCACTTTGGACGTGGGGCCAGATGCGCGGAAGCGCTCATGTTGTAGCCTAATCAAACATCAAGTGTTTCAGGAAATGTACAGTAAATGGTGTTTCAATCATCAGTCAAAAACTTAAAGGACAGGAGGATGCAAAGCATGGCTGATATCCCCAGGGCTGCGGGTTTGAATATGGCCTGGAATGGTACGCATTATTTGTACAGATGAATAGCGTACGTGGGGTAAAGAAGACCAGTCTGTAAGAAGCACTCTCTCTCTCTCTCTCTCTCTCTCTCTCTCACACACTTTGTCTTTCTTTCTGTTGGGTGAGTGCCACATTTTTTTTTTACTGCTCACCAGATGCGCTAACAAATCGCAGGCTGTGGCCCTCCCTCCCGAAGACAGCTGATGCTATCAGATCTAGGGCCCGATCTTCACAGCGGCCCCGGTTCCATTAGTGACGGCCATTAACCCCGGTACAGGAGCTCTTCGCCACTTCGGGCGAGAAATTAAGCTTCTTTTCACAGGCAGCTTGCCGCTGACTGAGCCACTAATAAAGCGTAGGCAGCTGGGGGTTATGGCGCCCCCTAGGGGTTGTGGGTGGCAGTGGCAGAAGCCTCTCTTTGACGACGTGTTCAAATACCCATTTGGCAGCAACAGAGCAACGTATTAACTGATTAAAAGTGCTTCATGCTTGACTGCTGATTTATACCCGGATGTACGTGTTTAAAATCATTGATATTCTTTGTTTGTTCCACCTCCCCATGACTCCACTCAGCATAAGCAATGGGAAATGGATGAATGATCCTCTTGATCAATGAACGGTTTTCCTTAAAGAACGGATGACCTGTGAGTGACTCTGGCTGCTGTGTCAGCCTGTGCAGACGCAGCACAATTCGCTGCGTACCTCAGCCTGAGGACATGGTCCCCCCGTGTCCCCCAGGGACCCCCGGGAACAGGATGACTGCTTTCCCCCAGCGCCCGACAGACCTGCCTTCCCACCCAATCCTGCCCCTGGCTCCTTTTCCTGGAGACGCAGCACAAAGCCAGATGCCCAAATCGATAGCACCCCTCCCCCATCATCCTCGCTGTCCCGCACTTTTGGGAGTGCTTGCGATAAAATATTTATACGTTTGGGAGTTGGCCTGGGAAATCACTTTAATTTAAAAAATGCAGCCTAGCATAAGCTGCTCTTAGCTTACATTAAACTGACTTAACAAAATGTGAACTTATGCAAAAAATATCCGAGATACATAGAGCTTACGGAAGCACTAATACAAAAAGGCAACATACACTCAATATGTATTTAAACGTTATTTTCCCATTTATTTCATGTGCATTTCATACTATGTATTACTAGCATATTCTTGACTTGAGTGTTTTTTGCTGTGTCTGGAAAGGTATTTAAAAGTAAATCCGACTGACATAAAATCTGACTCACCGGGGGGGGGGGGACAGGATTCATCCACTTCATGTTAAACCAGCGGCACTCGCTCAGGCTGAACATCACCAATGTGACCCCATCAAACTGATGTGCAGCCTGACACAATCCTCTGCTTTCACATCCCTGTTTTACATTTATCTGGCATTTACTCAAAGCAACGTCCTGATTGGATAAAGCACCCACAGCAACGTCCTGATTGGATAAAGCACCCACAAGCAGGTCCCTCATGCATAATCCCCAGGCGCAGGACAAAATTACTTCAGCTGAGTCTCCATTACACGCACCCCCAGCTGCCCCCCTGAGGTGGGTTTGCCTGAAAGAACCCAGAGAAAAGCATCAACTCAGAAACGTTTTCCTCCACTGCAGGTCCCTGGCTTCCTATGAGACCTACTGAAGTATTACTTTATGAAACATTATTGCAAATGTATAGAAGACGCACTGTGCCAATCTAATAATAAACTCATAATACGGGCAGTAGGAGCAGAGAAGCGGAGATTTGGGCTGAAGCACGAACCGGGGGGGCCATGGAAATGAGTCAATTTAAATGCATGACTTGAAAAACGGCCCCTTCTGCCGGGTGGGTCTCCCCGGGGGGGAATGGCACCAGCAGTCAGCTCTCTGCCTATGTGGCCACGCCGAGGGGGGGCCCGTCATGTTCGGGGTGGGGAGGGGCCTGATTGCCCCCATATACAGGCTTAATACCTAATTGAAAGGGAGAAATGAAGCTTCTTGTGTGACAGTGGTTTAACTTTTGGAGTCACATGATATACTTAAATGTTCTTATTGGTTTCTGAATTAATATTTTCCTGTACATGATATAATACAGGAAAATTTGTTCTCTGGAACAGCATTGGTCTGGCTGCCCTGTGCAGGATGGATGGATGGATGGATGGATGGATGGGCAGTATTTCGATATGTGTCATTAGTGAAGGATGAGAGGAGTGGGGTATGTCACTCTCTGTCTCTCTCTCTCTCTCCTGAAGGACTGTCTCATCCTGGAGAAGAATGAGCACCATCCAGTCTGCTCCTTCCAGGATGACTTCCAGGAATTTGAGATGATTGACGATGAGGATGAGGACGATGATGAGGATGAGGAAGACGAGGCAGACCCTGAGGCATCTCCCCCCTCCCCAACTTTAGGGTTGCTGCAGAAGAGCCGGCCCACCACCCTGAACCTCACCTCAGCTGTGTCACAGGTGGGAGTATACAGGGGTGAGGCCCCAGCTGCAAGCTGATTGGCCCCGGAGTGACCCCTCCCCTCTCACTCACTGATTCAAAACATCCAGTCTCTCACTAGCTGAAAACATAGGTTGGCCCCTGTATATGAACTACAGCCCCTCTTATGCCTTGCCCTCATATGACGGACACTCTCATTACCCATTAAACTTCCTTCCTGCATATAGCCTCAGCATTAACGTCTTTCCCGATGAATCATTACATTCATCCGCACTATTAAACCAGCTATAGTTCACAAGCAGACAGGAAGTCCCTGTCGGTCGGCATGGCGATTGATGTATGTGCCTGACTCCCCGTAGGATTCGCTGAACAACAACAACAGCTTCTCCCCCCGAAAAGGAAGCTGGCAGGAATCGCTCCGTTACCCCGCCCCACACGGTAAATATATTCCATTCCCGAGGTCAGCGAATGCTTCTGGCCCGTGGATTACCATGAGGCTCCTAATGCAAGCCATCAAAATGTCTGCCACCAGAAGAGCTTAGTGCATTATCTTCTGTACTCATCTTTCTTAATACTTTTTCCATTAATATTCATTGATATTAACGTATAATCCCACTAGTGATTTACAAAAGTGTAAGTGAGTTTAAGTTATAATAATGTGGTCAGTTTGCCTTGTTCTATCAGCATCCATTTTGAAATGTGATTTTATTAGTGACTCACTGAAATCCAAACTTCACTTGCTGTCGACATTAATCATTCCTGGTCTTGCTTTTTGTCCTGATATGTGCCTTTTTTGTGTTTCAGGACGGGTATCTCCTGATCATTCCGGCCTTGAGGAAGGTGAACATGTGAAAGGTCAAACTGCTGCGCCCCCGGTCAAAGGTAGACTCTCTGGAAAGTCCAAGGACACTGGGCATCTGCTCTAGGTCCCTCCTGTACAGAGAGGAGATAAAATAGACAACGTTTGATCCACTCATGGTAGACAGCCATAGCACAGATGTTGTCTTGCTGCCAGAATCTCTATCGATTCCTTTGTTCCCTGATGGGTAGATGCCACCTAAGCACCAGGGCAGGTATTTCGGTTCTGGGACCTCACTCAAAAAGTCACCCCAGCTGTTTCAAAAACTAAATAAATAGGTAGTGAGTTGATTCAAAAGATCGTAGCCAGCTAACTGGTTAGCAGAACAAACTTCTTCAGGATCTTGTAAATAAGGAACTTGTTTATTAAATATTCATTGTAGTGACTGTTTGTGGCCAGTGGGGGTCAAACCTCAGGCATCCCACATAAATGCATAGTTTGAGTTGTGGTAAATGCTACCATTGCCTAAGCAGTGTCTCTTTCCAACAGAGTCTTTCGATCAACACAAAATGTCCAGCAGCTCCGACACGGAGGGTGAGCCCAGCGTAGAGGCCCCAGCCCAGGGCGACGGCGTGCCTGTTGTAGGCGAGAGTTCCCAGTGCTCCGACACAGAAGTTGACCAAGACCTCAACAGCGCCTGTGCCAGAAGGCGCAGGTCCCAATCCAGACAAGCCAATGAAACATATACCATCACCACTGAGTCGGCTGTTGACCCTGAGCTGGAGAATGACGTGACTTCAGGTACCAGCAAATGCCTTTCCCCCTCACCACCAGCCAGCAATGATTCCGGAACCCCCTTGACAGAAGATGAACTAGACCAAGATTTTGACGTTGACTTTTTGTCCAAGAATACGAATGACTTGGTCTGCAAAGAAGCTGAGGACTCATTCTATGTAGAGTTTCCTCCGATTGAACCATGCGAAATAGCCTTTATGTCATCAGCTGGTCAGCCCAATGCTGACCAAGCGGAGGTTTTCTCTGACCATCATAGAGTCATTCAAGATCATGCATCTGGAGCCTCTAATGACACAAACTCCCCATCATCTGACCCGGGCATCGCAGACATGAAGGGATGCAACATGTACGCAACTTCGGACCAGCAGAGCGATGACCTGAGCACTCCTGGCTCTGATTCGGACGTAGAGGGTGAGCTGGAGGCAGCCTTTGCCTGCGGGGGTCCCTTGGTCAGTCACATGATCTCATCCATCTCAGAGACTGAGCTGGACCTGACAAGTGACAGCAGCAGTGGCCGCTCATCCCACCTCACCAACTCCATCGAGGAGGCCAGCTCACCCACTTCTGATCAGGAGTTAGAGACCGAGCTGGAGCAAGACAGCGGGATTGTGGGTATCAAGGCTTCTCTGCTCCTTGGGCAGCCCGAGCCCATCAAAGATGCTTCACCCACTGATGAGCCAGAGATGCAGGAGCAGCTAGATGACAGTCAGGCATTGATGGGGATGCAAAGTATTGATGATGTCATCTATGAGCACACGGCCGACCCCGACGAGACCCTGCCACCCACAGACTGCTGTGACGATAAGCTTTCCCAACAGCTGGTGCTGAAGATTGAACCAGACCACAGCCTGGAGAGCTTTAAAAGGTCCTTCTACTTGCCCATAGGGCCAAAACTCATGCCCGCCGTGGATGACAGTGACTGTGATTCTGAGTCAGAATCAGAGGATGAACTGAGTGAGAATTCGGATTCCCCCTGGCTGCTCAGCAATCTCGTCAACAAAATGATCTCTGAGGGCTCCTACCCCATCAGCTGTCCAGAGGACTGCTTTAAAAGGTCTGCCTCCATCTCGGACACCATTTCCCCCTCATCAGACTTGGAGGCAGATGCTTTTAATGATCATTTTGAAGTCCAGCAGCAGAGGCCAAAGTCGAATGATGACGTGCAGGAGGAGAGTTCAGATGAAAACGACAAACACTTAGGTCTGATTGCGTCAGCTGATTCCAAGGAGGAACTCAAGGGTGATGAGATGGTTCGGCCAGAGAGCAGAGTGGGCCTATCAGGAAACAGCGACACATCAGGCACGTGTGTATATGCAAAGGACAACAACACCCCCATGCCCAAGGAAGCATACAGCCGCAGAATGATAAACCCAGGAGGTCATGGTGTGGCCTCAGGTCCAGCTTCTCCCAAAGACCTGGACAGCTCTCCTGGTCCCAGGTTGGATAAAAACATTATACAAGAGGAGCAGGAGCCTGATAATGACCTGTCAATGAAAATGACAGGACATCAACCCCATGAGCTCATTGAAGATATGGAGAGCGATGAAGAAAGGGAGAACATGAGGTTACTGGACCGGATGACTGAGGTGAAGAACAGCCTCACTCTGGACATTCCCACCACCCAGACTAACCGCTGCTTCAGCTTGACCTTTTCCACTGACAACGACGAGGGCTCCTTCCCAGTGTCCCTCCACGGTTCCCCCTATGGCGAGGTCTACCTGGACAGCTCTCCGCCCGTCGACGAGAGCGTCCAGGCCCACAGACCCACCGAGAATCTGATGGGCAGGCACATGGATGAATCACTAGCCTACGACTCGGTCAAGTACACCTTGGTGGTGGATGAGAACGCCACCCTGGAGCTGATCAGTCTGAGGAGGTGCACGTCCGTCCTGAGTGATGACAGCGACATATCTACGCTGTGCGACGACTGCCCCCTGGAAGTGGGCGGTGAGTTTGGCCAGGGTGGAGAGAACCTGAGTGTCATCAGTTCTTCCGAGGACTCGTCCCCAGAGGCTGAAATTCCCTTCTCCAAGAAATTCCTCAATGTCTTTGTCAACAGCACCACACGCTCATCTAGTGAGTACAACCCCTAATGAAACAAACTGTGAAAGTTATTATTGCAACAAAATAGCATTTACTAGTACTACAACTACTAGCTCTGAACAACAAGAGCCACGTAGAATACCTGTCCCCAATAAAAATGTTATTCCTCTCCTTAATGAGTTGTATGTCCTAGGATTCCCATACTTAATTGCATACAATTAATCTTTTTTACATTCCTTCACATTAAATCACTTGATCTTCTATGTAGTATATTTAAAATGTGCTTTTTATAAGTAAAACATCAATTTGAAGTTTGATTTTACTCGTCCGAGCAGTTTTTTTTTTTACAATTTGCTTGTGTAACCAAATATATTTTGTGTTTTTTGGTGTGTGTGTGTGTAATATATATATATATATTGCTAATATGTAATGAAAATATTAAATTAATTAACAGCCATTGTTTTTAATTGTTATACCAGTGGGACCTTGTACTACTGTGCATTTTCTGTTCCTGTTCGAATGTAATTTGGTGTTATTGATCTGTCTTACCTCTGCCTTTTCATGCAGGTACAGAGTCATTTGGGCTTTTCGCTTGCACCATTAATGGACAGGAGAGAGAACAGACACACAGGGCTGTATTCAGGTAAATCTTTTAAGGGGGGGGTGGTTAATGCTGTTTTTCAGCCCAGGGGAAGATTTTTGTTGGCTAACAGCAAATAGGGTAGCCTTCATATTGTCTGAAAGGACACGTGGTTTTCTTGGGCTTAGGCCCGTTGTTTTAATCTCTGGGGTTACACTAGTAATATAAGGTAGATTCAGGCCAGCGAGAAGCTTAAGTTGCATCACAGTATTTGTACAACATGCATTTCGTAGTATTGGGGGCTATTTTTTTCATTATAAAGCTGTATCCACAAAGGAGCAGCTGGGATTAACACCTGACACCATGAATGCTAACCCTGGATCTCCGCGGTGGTCCCTCAGTCCGAGGCTCAGGACAGGGAGCAGTTCAGTAGTTAAGAGGCACAGATGACGTGACAGGAGACTGCAGTCACGGTGACGTGGTTAAGGGTATGGCCGCGTAACCCGAAGCACCCTGCTTTGTGACCTTAATAAGGCACTTGACCTTGGACAGTATTTAACCATATGAAGGGATACAGCTATATGACTGTAAATGGAGTCTCTCTGAACAGAAATTGATTAACGACAAGGAAAGGTAATATGTATGAATTGCGAAAGTCCTTTCTGTTCTGCTTGTAGACTATGTGTAAGGAGAGACTATGTATGGCTCTGCTAAATTCTCAAGGGCTTCACACTGTGGCGTGATGCTCACATTCCGTGTCACGAGACACTCTGGCGCCAGGTGCCATGGAGACAATGCCGTCTCCCATGGCAACCCGCTAGGAAGAGAAGCAGGAGGAGTCACCTGCCCCTCGTGCCTGAGCGTGTGACTAGTGCTAAGTCCCCCCCCCCCCCCACCAAATCTGTGTCTGGAGGGCAACGCGGCGGGTGCGTAGCGTAATGAGAGACCTCATTAGTGTGGAAGCCAGCAGCTCCTGGGGGCAGAGTGTGGGGTCCCCCCCCATAGGACAGAAGGGGAACACCTCCCACCACGTTCTCCAAGGGGGTCGGGAGCAGCTGGACAGGGACACGGGGACCGTCTGAGGCTATTGTGTTACAGCGCTAATGAGCTGATGATGTCACATCCACGGGGGCGGGGGGTATTACTGAAACCCAAGCCTGACCCAAAAAGCAAATTATGCCACATACAATATGGAGTTACTGTGTCATTATGCTCTGCTCTATATGCTCTATTTAAATTATTTATGTTCCATTTCTCATCTTCTGTTGGAATTCTCACTGTGGGGGAGCAGAGATCAATCCATCCATGCAGGAAACGAGTTACCATTCTGTGATATGTGACGGGCATCCCGGCTCTCTGCCGCCCCCTGCAGGTTCATCCCCAGGCATGCAGATGAGCTAGAGCTGGACGTGGACGATCCCTTGTTCGTAGAGGAAGAGGAGGATGACTACTGGTACCGAGGATATAACATGCGCACCGGGGAGAGGGGCATCTTCCCTGCCTACTACGCCCACGAGGTCGTCGGTCAAGCCAGGGAGCTTGGGGGTGAGCAAAGCCAGAAATGGGAATCATGATTTGGAGGAATTGAGTATGGATCAGCTTGATGATGGGGATGATGAGTGACAGCACACTGAGGAACAGGAAAGGAGTGTGACTTGTACCATTATGTCAGGACCTGTTTCCAGGTCACCTTTCGTCAAAGAGAAGCGATGACACCAATGTATATTACAAGGAATGCAGGATGAGGGACATTAGGCACTAATCAATGCACTCAACTCCGCACACCTGACACAGCCCCCCCAGACACTGAGACTGCCATATCCTTGTAGCATTAATACACAGATGACCATGGTCTTGCAGGGCTGAAGAGGGACACATCCTGGATGGAGAGCTTCAGCGTTCAGTTCCTTGGGTCGGTGGAGGTGCCCTATCATCAGGGCAATGGCATCCTGTGTGCTGCAATGCAGAAGGTAGGCTGAGCAGACCTCTATCCCCGGGGCTGAGCAGACCCCTATCCCCGGGGCTGAGCAGACCTCTATCCCCGGGGCTGAGCAGACCCCTATCCCCGGGGCTGAGCAGACCTCTATCCTCGGGGCTGAGCAGACCCCTATCCTTGGGGCTGAGCAGACCTCTATCAACGGGGCTGAGCAGACCCCTATCCTCGGGTCTGAGCAGACCACTATCCTCGGGGCTGAGCAGACCCCTATCCTCAGTCTTCCTGGAGATCATCTCAGGCGTTTCACCTTAGATCTGCAAGGCTGAGGGTCAGTGTGCCATGACACAAGTAAACCGGCCACATAGATCAAAAGTCCACACATATGCACCAAGATCTTCTCAAACCCAACAGAGATGATGCTGGATGTCTTGCACCAGGGGTATGCTGTGCAAATGGTGACTGCACCAGGATCAGGGTTGAGGTTTGACTAATGCTCCCCATTGTTCCTGCCGCTGTAGATCGCCGTCACGCGGAAGCGGACAGTACATGTGCGTCCCCCTGTGCTGTGTGACCTGGAGATCAGCCTGCAGGGCATCAAGCTGGTCATGAGTCTGGACGACGACTTCGGGGAATTGGATGAGGTGAGGCCTGGGGTGCCAGTGCAACCTGGGGTGCTTTGCCCTCACTGCAGGGCTCTGTCGAGGTTGTTAGCAGGAGTGCGGGAGCGTCACGGGCAGGATAGAGGGCACCGCCATGTAGCCAGACAGAACTGGCAGCAAGGATCCAGTGTGTCAGGTACAGAGTGAGGACTGGGTGAAGACCCACACGGTAAAGGAGAATCCGAAATGGGGGGGCGAGTTAGTTAGGGACAACAAGGATGTAAAAGATGGTTACAAAGTGAGACACTCTTCAGCCCAGCATCTTGGGGGTGGAAGTTAGAGCTGTAACAAAGCAAAATACAGCAATTGGTATTAATTACTGGGAATAGGGGTGATGAAATAAATCATCTGCCACCTCACCCCCTCCCAAACCAATGGCAGCCCCCCTAACCCTCGCCTGACAGTGAGTCGGTGCAGTGAGAGTGTGGAATTAAGCAGCTGCCATCCAGGTTTGTGATTCATTTGCCCCCACAACCATTACCCTAGATTGTCTGACTCCCCCCAAAGAAAATGTAGGAAGTGCCATTCGCTTCATACCCTGATTGGTCTCCGAACGGACAATATGGGGGCCGAGTCTGCCTGCTGGGATAAATCTGTCTGCTTTTGTTCAGTTTGACAGGTGCAGCCACTTCTTCCAGATGAAAAACATCTCCTTCTGTGGATGCCACCCCAAGAACAACTGGTATCTGTCCACTAGGGGGTGCTACACACACATATCTATATATACACACATGCACATAAGCAAATGCACCGTGTTGGGTTCACATGCACTAAGACAGTTGTCCTTGGACTGCTTTAGGGATTATAATAATAACTCTTTTGTATATATAACCAAAGCTGCACTAATGTAGTACAGTTGTATGTTATTCATGCAAAAATGCATGATCTTCTCAACTGTATAAATATTATATAACTGTTGTTGACAAAGCCAGACAATACTTCGTTTATTAGAAAATAGTAATTATTATAATTATACTTTAAATCGCAAGCACAAGCGGGAAGAGAAACTCTCAATTAATTACTACTTTTCGATAATATATAACCCCGCTAAAAGAAATAAACGCAGGCTAATTAAAGTATAATTACACCACACAACGACTGAAAAAAAATGAAGGAATACTCTAATAATTCACATACTGGTTATCTGTGGGACCCTACTGTCGAGAGGAGAACGCATAAAAGCCGTTCAACCGGAAAAACTCAATGCTAACATCACACATTTTCTTTGCATTTTCTTACAAAGCATTTTCTTTGTAAATTCTTCAATGTTGATTTGACATTAAATGACAGCATATTAAACTTAGATTCTTCCTACACTCTCATTTTAAAACTCAGGCTAAAAAAATCACTTATTTTTAGGCATTTATTTAGGCATTTTAGACAAATGTGCCATGTGTTTTATTGCAGTTTTTGTAATTGTAATGTCTGTTTTATTATATTTTACATTTTACTTCATTTTGTTTGTTTTTAATGCATCTTTATATTTTCCCTCTGGTTTTCATGCATATTGTTTTTTTTTATTGTTGTACAGAACTTTGGTCAACCACTGGTTGTTTTTAACTGTGCTATATGAATAAAATGACTTGACAACTTCGTCCTACATAAATAACTGAAATTAACTTCTCGTTTTCACCTCCAGCTACTTTGGGTTTATCACCAAGCATCCGACGCTGAACCGCTTTGCCTGTCACGTATTTGTATCCCAGGAGTCCATGCGGCGTGTGGCAGAATGTGTAGGGTAAGACCCCCATTAATTCCTATTTTCATGGAGCAGGACAGTTTAAATGGGGGAAAAATGCAGCGCCTTAAGCCTGAGCTACGTAGGAGAACAGTGTGTCACTTGAAACAGGGAGACAAAATTTTGCGCTAATTCTCCTTCCAGGAGACAGTGACTGAAAAATCCTTTCATTAGCAGTCAGCATAATTGATGCTAATGTGATCATCGATGGCACTCAGAGAATTAGCATCAGCAAAAGCATTTGCAGCTCACTTTATCCATTTTTTTTTTGAGCTGTCAGGCCCAACTCAGCCCTTGACCTCCGCTTCTGTTTCAGACGTGCTTTCCAGGAGTATTACCAGGAGCACCTGGAGTATGCCTGTCCCACGGAGGACATCTACCTGGAGTAGCAGAGACACCAAGACCCTGTTCTCCTCTTATTATGTATGTTCCTAAGTGCTCCACCAGGGGGCGGTGTGTAGCTGTTATCTATTGTACAATACATTTTGTTCTGGCGTTTCTCTTTTTGCCCCAGCGCTCTCACTTTGAGAACTCCTACCCTTATATTTTACTTCTTTTCTACAATATTATAGGGATTTTTTTGGCAGCTCTGCAAACCTGCAAATATTTTCTTTAATTTTCATTTCCGTTTTGAGTTTAAAATTACAGCAAATCCTGTATGTGACATTCATGCATGGCTTTATGGGTAACGCACAGAGACACAGACAAGCAAAACAGCTAAGATTTTCTGTTGTGCTAATCTTGGGTTTGGGTAGGCTTTATATAACTAGAAGATTTAAAAAATAGGAGAGTCTGTAAATAAGAATTTGTTCAATATCAAACAAATGATGTTTTGATTTCTACTGAAATTATTATTCTGGAGAAGGTGAACAGGTGGTTATAGGTTTGAGGTGGGCCATATCAGTGTGGGGTAGAGGAGTCTCCTAGTGAATAGGCAGAGGAAACATACTGTAAATAAATGTATAGATTTAGGAGAACGTTAGATTGTTTTAAGAACAAGTGGTTATTAGCATCCACATCGGTTATGACTAGGTACTGTCAGGACACGGTTAGTGATCTGGTGTGGTCTGCTGTGTGAAAGACCGGACTGACAAAACCGTGCATCTGCTGGGGGTCACAGCAGCCGGACTTAAAGCTTCCGAGATCGACGTCGCCTTTGTTAAAGAAAAGCTACAGCTTTGGGGTAAAAAAACACACAGCAATCACGGCTTCCATCATCTCTGGCGAGGCAGAAGACAATTTTTAAAAATACAATGAAAATCAGCTTATATGCAATTAGTTTGTAGTCGAAGAAAATTATATATGTATACACATACTGCAAAATGTTCTTATAATAATGACAATTAATGGCACGGCGTGCATTCATTTGGTTGCTCTAAACATCAGAGGAATAGGGGTACATTTGACAATTAGAGTCCTAGAGCCTATCACATAGGACGAAAGCCTCCAAGGGCAAAATCTTGAAAAGTCTACGGTAAGAATGGCCGCATCTTCATTTCTCCTGTCCTGTCTCTGTACAGCTTATTTCCATAATGATATTGACGTCATTGTATGGCCAAGTGGATTCTGGGAAAATGGCGCTGCTCTCGCAAAAACTATTTTTTCCCGTGCGAGGCGAGACTCGATCTTTCTTACTTAGCGTGGCTTAATGTAGATACCGGTCTTGCATGTCGTAAAACGTAAAGAAAACTTTGGTTCTGTAACGAAGACCTTTGCCGTGTTTTTTCCCCTTTCGGTTCTCTCTCTGGATTTTTGCTGCTCACTCTGAAAACTCCGGCATTAAACCTCCAGCAACATCACTAGTGATCGAAGCCATAATATATCGGACTGTTCAATAATATCTTTGGCTGGGATCTCAGCTGCAAATGCTGTGGGGAGGAAGACTCCCCCGATTCACTGAGCTGCTTGGACAGCGTGGGGCCGAATGGAGAGAGAGAGACAGAGAGAGAGGCCTTCTTTATGTCCAGTATAAGACCATAATCCCAATGTCCATGTCACAAGGGCCTGTTAGCTGCTGGGGTATGTTACACCACGAAAAAGGGTCATCAAAAAAAGAAGAAAAACACAAAACGAGGTCCTTCAATAAGTCTTTTTTTTATTCTTCTGAATATTGTTTTAATGATCATCATATAGAGCAAAAGTATTTATTATATAAAGCATATGATCACAGACCAATATTGTGTCTACAGGTATTTACTATTTTTCTCTTACCGAAATGAGTTACACTTTGAATGCTTCACATTTTAGGTTTCACATCTGTGTCGGTGTTCATGTGCGGGTTTTATGGATACAGTAGATTGTGACTTCTTTGTACCTTATCAAAAATAAAAGGAGAGAGAAATCGCTGTCATTGGAAATCTGGTTGGGACTCAAGCCAAAGATGGAAAGCGGGTCATCCCCGGGCTCCTGTTGTCCGCTTGTGGGAATTCGTCTTGTCGCCGCTGTCTAGTCTCCATCTTGTTTGCATGATTTCCATGTCGTTACTCATGTCCTTGTCCTGACTTTGACAAAACTTTAACAAAGCACTAATACCGGGGGAGATATCCGTAACAAAAAGCACAGGACCTCTGTCCTTAAAGCCAGCTGCAGTACATTTTAGCCATTTATAAGAAAGCTTAGCCATTGACAGCGGCCAGGACTAGTAAACCTTAATGAAACAAAGCAACACAATGAACACGATGTGTTTCTATTTTTGAAAAAAAAATAGAAAACAGACTGAGCCTGGATATTTATCTTGGTGTGTAAGGGTGCTATATCGTTCTGTTAATAATTTATGAACTTCGGAAATAGGAAAGAGTTTAAGTCAGTAGAGTGGAGGTATGTTAGATGTAGACTGTGTTGGTCATCCCCTCTGATTATTGATATTACTGTAACTGTAAAACAAGATTTTGTGGGTCATTGTGTTTTTTTTTTGTTTTTTTTTTGTCTCATTACTTATTCTATACATGTACAACTTCTCTGGGGTGGTCTGAGCCTCAGCAGGTAAGAAGGCTGTGCCTGAGCTTGGATGTTTGTGAGGTCAAATCCCAAAAAAAAAAAAAATCATATATATGTATATAATTTTGGCTGAAAGCATTTGCTAATGAAATGTAAACTTCTCTACGTACCAGCAGAGGGGAATGATGTAGTTGCAGTTTGAACTAGAAATCATGCTATACATACCGACATTGGGAAAGGCACAGACTGAAACAGGTGCAGACTGATAAGGCAGAGCTTAGGGTTCAACTTAGGATGTGCAGTACCTGCCAAAAGTCTGGACACAAAATCATTTGTTTTTCAACAAGATAATGACCCTAAGCTCACCTTAAGGTTATACAGTAAGTATTATCTTGTGAACAAGCAAAGAGATAGATTCCCGTGACAGATGTCTGGCCCCCACAATCCCCCGACCTAAACCCTGCAGAGCCGGTTTGGGACGACTTCAAATGAAGAGTAAGAGCAGGTAGCCAGCATGTGCCCAGGACTTATGGAAACTCCTTCAGGACTGTTGGAGAAGCGTCCAGGTGGCTACATCTGGAAGCTGACAGAGAATGTCAGGAGTCTGCAATGCTGTCATTGAAGCAAAAGGCGGCTATTTTGAAGTCTAAAATCTTCAGATGTTGAACACTGCTCTTGGTTGTTACAGTATTTAGTATGTATTATGTCATTGCCATAAGGTGACAAATGAATTAAAAGCAAGTGTGTCCAGAATTTTGATGGGTACTGTACAGGAGCAAAGCCTTGCGCCAAAAACTGAACTCACTGCTGCTACTTACAGTTTGCTAGCTTGAGATGAAGCATTTTAGGGTGGATGTTCCCAAAGGTTATCCTCTCCATATTTCATGCAGAATGCAATATCACTGCTGTTGGTGAGAGATAACAATCACTTCTTATTTTCGGGAGAATAGATGTGATCAAAGGTTGTGTGATGTTACAGGAGAAAGCGCTGTGAATGCAATAGGGTCCGATTCTTTACTGTCTCAACTGTGAGATTGAACCAAACACGTAAAATAAAGGAAACTGACTCTGCGACTTTATGAGTATCAGCGATGGAAGACTGACAGATTTACAGAAGCACTTCACCTTTCGTCCTTTTGGATTTAGGTCTCATTTTCTTTCTCTGTTCTGTGTTCCTCCGGGTAAAGAAACACCTCGCACTGTCATATCCTAATTTGCCAAATGTAAACATGCTACAAAGTTTGTTTCGCAAGGATCTAAACTCTCCAGAATTTGTTCATCAACATATAGCTACTTATAAAGTCTGATGTAGATTCCATCCCCCCCAACGCTGAGAATAAATAGATTTAACCCAAAAACCAGCTGCAGATAATTGTCCAAAAGGCTGTTTTATATACAAAAGTGTATCCACCTGTTTCATATTCCTGTGTATCATTTTAGTCCAATAAGGTTTCAGAACTCTTCCAACATTGGCTGTTCCAGAAGATTCCATTTGGGTTGGTTTAGCAACTCTACTGCATCCAGGTAACCTGTTTTGCATTAATGCTAATCAAACCCTGATCGTCTGCTCTTTAGCTAAACACGTCAGTATGTGATGGACACTGTATCATTTGAGCAAGGACTTATAATGAAGTATAAACTTTACTCACTCTGCCTTGTCATGGATTTGGTCTTATGAATAAAATATATGCTTGATGTTGACGGGTGTCTCTGTGAATCGGCTAAAACCGGCCTACAAGTAGTCGGTGGAATGAGCTTTCTGGTGTAATACATTCACCCATCTTCCAGCGATGAGATGATGGGGCTTCCTGAGGTTGACCAACAATAACATCTGTGTTTCTTTCATGTCTGATTGATTGCACTCAAATATGATTTTAGTCAGTTATCTTTATTAGCATCAAGACAAAATTAGTATCATAAAGGCACAGAAAACCTCACAGAATGAACATTCCTTTTATATTAATTACGACCCTTTACGTATTTTCCAGTGTGTACCCTGAGATGACGGAATTCCGTCCTTAAATAGCACCCATGAATGTATTCATGGTCTTCTTACAAATTCCAACATAACACCGGCTTTGCATTGATGTGGCAGGATTAGCCTCAGGTTGCTTTATCCACTATTTAAAACGTGTAGATCAGCGGTGACCAAAGGGCCGGTGTGTGTGCAGGGTTTTGGGATAACCTGTAGGTCAGCTGTTCAAACCCAGGTGTGAGGACTCTTCAGCCAATCAGTCCTCTAATTAGTAATCTAATTAGGGAGTTGCAGCGAAGACCCGCACACACAGCGGCCCTTTGCGGATAAGATTGGCCACCTCTGGTGAAAATGCTTCCTGGTGTAACTCCAGGTTGCAAATCCCTTTTCATTTGGACTTTTTTAGTTAAGAAGGTAAACAAGCACACTCAGACAACAATCTCACTCATTACATGAAAAGGCATTTCAAAATCAAATCATAAGCATGAAAATCATACCTTTGGTTAAACCTTTCAGCCAATACATTTTTTTTTTTTCAGATTTTGTAAGTGGCATATGATTGGTTGTGTGTGATCTGATTAAAACGGTGGCTGTTTTCTGATTTGACCCCAGGCTAGCAGGTACAGCAAATCGGTTTGGGGTTGCACTGTGGGTTACAGCAGGGCTCCAGCGCGGGGTCGCGTCCCTTCGCTATCTGAGACTCTCCAAACACCATCGTCTCCTCAAATCTGGTCTTCACTTCCTGGATCATCTGCAGCACGGCCTTGTACTCCGGGTTGGGGGAAGCGGCTAGGTTGTAATTCTCTGAAGGGTCCGTGTCCAGGTCGAAGAGCAAGGGGGGGTCGTGCTGCTGGAGGGTGGACTGCCAGCTGCATTTGGGGTCTGCTGTGGTGTCACTGTGTGGAGAACCTGCAACCGCACAGAGATCTGTAACCTACAGGTACACCAACCTACAGCTAGGAAGGTTCTATTAAAATCAGAAAAAAATATCTTAACCATGATGTTACTTCTGCTAGTTTGGCTAGAAACTTCCGGAAACTCACCTCTTGTGTAGTAGTGGGCCTTATACTTTCCCACCCTCACGGCAAACAGTCCATACTTCTGGTTAGGGTCATCAGGGTAGTAAAACATGGCCTTTCTCTTACTCTGAAGCACAGAGACAGCACCTTAATTACAGCTCAGACATTATAACCCAATGCATTGCAAGTCAAACATTATGAGACCCAGAATTGAGCAGGTAAAACATGGTATTGACTTTTTTTAATGGGCTGCCTGGAGATACGTCCTTTTCACAGACAGTCCAAAATACCTTAAAGAGCCTTGAGAAATGTTACCCTACGGTTCCCTTTAGAAAGACAGGTCATCAGCAATCTTATTTCAGGGCGACATGGAATCTCTACTCCTGAGATAATGCTTAAATTTGACATCTGTATTCAGGCAACTAACATAAAGACTGGAAAATGAGAATTACCGGTCCACTCCCGAACAGGATGGATCTCATATCAAACCCGTCCAGATACACCTGGGGAAGCTTTGCTCTCCCTAGGCTAGCAAAGGTGGGCAGGATGTCCAGAGTGCTGGCCAGCTCATGAGTGACACCTACAGGAGAAGACTGTTAGTAACGGCAGCGTTTCCTGACCCGTACATTCAGCAGTGGCTCACTGGGTTAGGGCCCTGTACTTGTGATTAGAAGGTTACTGGTTCAAATCCTGTAGGCGAGATGACTTTACCACACGACCCTGAACCCTCAGCCCCTCCACAGATTGGTTGACCCCACTCTCTCAATTCTAAGTCTCTTTGGATAAACGCATCTACTTAAATAACTAAAATTTAATGGTGGTTATTTTCCAGCAGATTTAAAACTATGACCATAACTGAATATTTCTTGGGATTTAAAACTTCTCAGAGCAATTGATTGTAAAAGAAAAAAGAATATTTTGCCCAAAATGTTTATAGCAAACTGTTAAGCCTAATTATAGCTGAATTGGATGACTGCTTCATCTTAATTAAACTAATTAATGAAAGCATTTCCACATGCAAATACAGCAAGCATATGACACTCTTGATATTAAAAACACACATTGCCAAGAATCCGCATTTTATTCAGCACCCATGGCATCCGAAACTGAGGGCAATAAAAGCGCCTCGGTTTTTACTGCCATCCCAGCAGCCCGTGTTTAACAGAATAACGTATCGGCCAATGAGGTGAGTCGAGCCCCAGCTGGTCCGTGGTCGGTGTCAGGGGGCATGTCTGACTTAACAAAATCAGGCACAGCTGGGGCTGAGAAATTTCTTAATGGTCCAAAACTGGAGTTTCTGATTTGATTGAGTGGATGGATCAGGACACTTTGCTACAATGAAACGCGAAAGGCGCAGAGTTACAGCCCCCAGATGGGAGGCTAACAGGGCCTGGGTCTCCCGCCCTTGTGGTTGCTGTTCGCCAGCATGGCCTGCCGGACATCCTCGGTGACCTCCTTCCCATTCTGCTGCACCCACCTGGCTGGATCTTCCCAGGCCAGTAAGCGATGGCGGGTTCCCTCATGCCCCCTTCGTAGGTCGTCCCCTTGCCACACTTCAGGAGGCCTGAGTTGCCCCCACGTGACTTTCTCATGAGTTCTGGCCTAGCAGGAGATAAGATGGCACCACATCAGTCGGCGATCGGGAACTGAAACTTACTTAAACGGACCTTAATGTCTGCAGTATTAAAGGAGCTTAGCACTGTTTGTCTGCTTCTGGGTTAATGGGTTTGTGCTTCAATTCAGTTTTATTTGGTATAGTACATTTTCACTTTACATTGTCTCAATGCGCTCTACCTTTTCCCTGCCCAAAGCCCCCATTGAGCAAGCCAGAGGTGACAGTGGCAAGGAAAAAACTCCCTAGCGATAGCGAGGAACCAGACTCAAAGGGGGCGCCCGTGCTCCTCGGGCTGGCAGAGGATGTGAAATGAACAAAGTCCTGATTTATACAGAATCAATTGCAGTAGGTGACCGCTAGCAATGAGAATTTCCTTTAAGTATCTGGATCAAGTCTCAAGAGACCTTAAAGATGCCTCGCTACTAAAACTGTGGCAAGGAGACAAAACATTTCCATCCATCTATCCACTTTCAGTACCTGCTTGTCCTATTCAGGTTCATGGGGGGGGGGGGGGGGGGGGGGGGGGGGCAGGAGGCAGGGCCTATCCTACAGGCTATAGGTGCAATGCAGGGAACAACCCAGGATGGGGTGCCAACCCATCATAAAATGACCCAGTTACCCATTATCAGCAGTGAAGAGCACCAATGTGTTGTTGTGAACGCCGCCATCCTGCAGGGCTTGAATGATCTTCCCCACTGTCCTGTCCAGCTCGTACAGAGAGTCTCCAAACTTGCCCCTTGACGACTGTCCAGTGGCCTCCTTTCCGGCAAACTGGGGATAGTGGGTGTGCTGTAGGAGAGCGTGAGCATAAGCACACTGGCAGTGGCAAGTCATTGAAGACTGAGTAATGTAGTGGCTAAGAACCTAACCAAGAAGGCTGACTGTTCAGATCTGCCCACCGGACTTTTTCAGCTCAATTTTAATTAACAATCATATCCAATTGCATTAACAGGCGAAAGGGGATTCATTTTAATATGTTATTTTGATATTACAGAATAGGTATATCTTTACACATTAAGATGGTGTTGGTGAACCCATTAGATGACATAGGCAGCTGCCTAGGGCGCCATCTTCTGAGGGGGCGCTGATTTAGCAAGCCAATTGCACTTTGTCTGGGGTGGGTGAAGCTCGCTGAGGACTTTGACCGGTACTGCAGTGAGAGATGAGCAATTTTAAGTGTAAATGTCAGCGTTCGGGACCCACGTGTGACGGGTAGTATAGGAAGAAGGGCTGTTTCCTCTTGGCCGATGTCAGGATGAACTGCACGGCGAAGTCGCTGTACGTCTTCTCCAAGTCTGGGAAGCTGACCGGCTGCTGCTTGATGGTGTCGTTGAACATCAGCGGAACCGTGACCACGCCCAGGTCACATGTACCGAAGCATTTAACGTCTGGGGGGAAGCAGGTCAGATTGGCGCACGGACCCTGTGTGCAAATAGGAACATCGGTTTTATGCTACACAGCTACAGCAATCGGCTCCGTTTGAAGCGCTTGGTCTCACCTGGTCGTGTGAATAGGGCACTCCGACATAGTGGTCAAAGCCCTGGTGGATCGGGAGGTACGTTCCGTTCACGCCCAGCCCCAGGTGCCACTTTCCGACGACGGCCGTCGCGTACCCCAGAGGCTTCAGCACTTCCGCTATAGTGGTTTCGTTCAGCGGGAGACCCCCCCGGGAGCCCGGGTAGAAAACGCCGGGATAGACCCCGGAGCGGGTCTGGAAGCGACCAGTCAGCAATGCTGCTCTGTAGTAGGAAAGATCCAAATAAAACGAAATGTTTTTTCTATGTGCATGTTGTAGCGACTCTAAAAAGGTAAAACACTATAACAACAACTAAAGACTATCAACCGCAATTATTCCCTATTCTTGGATATAGTTCTGTAAAAATAAAGTATAGCGTAATTCATCGTTATGGAATTGAGGAAATCACAGTAACCAGTCAGAACCTGGAAGGGCTGCAAACGGGACTGGTGCAGTAGAAGTCGGTAAAGCGAAGGCCGTTGGCTGCTAAATGATCCAGGTTCGGTGTCATGGAGCTGGGGTGTCCGTAAATGCCCAGATCGCCGAAGCCCAAATCGTCGGCGAAGAGAAGGACGA